GGTCTCATAGCTCTGGTCCTCCATCCCTTTGATGAGTTTGGTCGCCCTTCGCTGGACTTTCTCCAGTTCAAGGACATCCCCTCTGTGTACCGGTGCCCAAAACTGCACCGCATACTCCAGGTGAGGCCGAACCAGTGATGTGTAGAGTGGCAAAATTATAGACTTATCCCTGCAAAACATTCCCTTCTTGATGCAGGACAGGACTCTACTAGCTTTGCTTACCGCAACCTGGCACTGTAATCTATTATTGAGTTTATGGTCTACAGTGACCCCCAAATCTTTCTCCATTTCAGACTTCCCTAGCGGCATACCCATTATTGTATAACCCATTTGCTTGTTTTTTAACCCAAAGTGCATAACCTTGCATTTATCAACATTAAACCTCATTTGCCATAAAGGTGTTCATTGCTCTGATTTTGTTCCACTACCTCTTAGCATTCCAGATTGGCACCCAGACATTTTAAAGCCCAACTTAGCACTCTGGGGTCCCCCCACATGTGACACTTCCTCCCAGAGCTTCCCATTGTCACATGACTGCCCGGGTCATGTCCCGCTCTTCTCCGGTAATGGGCAGTCCTTGGAGAAGCATAGAGTGGCCCTAAATCAGAATAAAGGGTCTTGTAATGATGCCTCCCTGGGGGCGGAGCCATAACCCCCTCCATTCATAATATAGCTTCAGTCTTCCAAGCTGGATGACACTTATGACTCTCCTGAAGATGGTCTGCCTACTTGTTCTGGGTTACTGTCTCAGAACAGGTTTCCTTAAAAGCTCAACTGACATTGATTTCAGCTAAATACAACTTAAAGTTCCTTCACTTTAGAAAGCAGCCGCAGCCTGAGTAGCCTGTCCCCTGCCATCCTGCTGCAGAGAGAGACCCTTGCTCTGGGTGGGAGAAGTGTCCTGTGCAGAGATCCAACATGCCCCTTAAGACCTATAGCTTTGTAATCAACAAAATGTATTCCCCTGCGGAGTCAGACCTAGAGCTGACTCAATAGGAGGTGTATTGGGCCTGTGCAGAGAGACCACTGCTTCCAGACAGAGAGTAAGGATCCTTCCCCTACACCACGATGGCAGGGGCACGCTTTTTCTATTCAGAGTGTGGCTGCTTTTCTATAGAAAACAAACTTGGGCTATGCACTCGTATTGTTTTTATTGCACCTTGAATGTATTTAGCTAAACACTGCTTCAGGATCTCATGGTGGCTAATCACATGACCTAATGTCTATGCATGGGCATTAGCCATGGGGCCCTGGAGAAGGTAGGAGGCGGGGCCCTATTTTGATTAAATATGAATAGAACACCTGCACTCCAATTACAGATATGTATGATGCGTCTTTATTGACGTGAATGCGACATATCGCACCAGTGCAACGTTTCGGGACCACACAGGATCCCATTGCTCAGGCAAGACATGTGATGAAGGGGATCCTGTGTGACCCTGAAATGTAGCACTTGTGTGATACGTCGCATTCACGTCAATAAAGACTCATCTGTAATTGGAGTGCCGGTGTTCCATTCATATCTTGTGCAAGTGAGGGTGCCGTCCATCTACCACCGCTGCACCCCTCTCGGTCAGGAGTGTGTTGGGTATAAGGACTTCTATTTTGATGGAAGGTCCACTTCCACATTCAGCACTTTCAATGGATCTACTTCTAAGTGGGGCTGTGATCATAGAATATTGTGGAATCGATGTCGTCATGACTGCAGGAACATCAGCACACATCATAGAACTCACTGGCCTGGTTTATTGATCATGGAATAGTAACAATCGGCAATACACACACATCTCAGAGCCTTGTGCTGCCCGCTTTCAGCTGACTGTCAGGCGGCAGAGGCTTTCCCATGTGCTGTCCCACGCTGGGTCCATAATGGTCCTTGTGCTTCTCCACCACTTCCTTCTTTAGTACAAACCCGCCGGCAAAAGAGAAGTCAAAATCCTCATTGGGCACAAAGCTGATGGGTTTCTCCTCCCAGACCTTGGCCAGACGAGCCTGCCAGGCCTGCAGGATGAGGGAGCGTTTCTCGGGAGGTGTGTGCGCAATGCTGTAGCTGATCTGAGGTTCGAGTATCTGGAAGCCACAGAAGTTCAGGATTCCTCTCTGCAGGAGACACAGGGACGAGAGTTAGCACCTGGAGACATCAGTCCGCACACGGCATAGACGTCATAAGGACAACGGCTGGGCACTGATTGACAGCGGCATTTTCTGTGGCAGCAAATCAGATTCCATGACATAAAAACCCGGAATTTATACTTTGATCCTAAGGGCCCAGTCACACCATCAAGAGTGCGTTCGGCCTCTGGAACGTAACCCGGCCAGCTCACTTTGTTTTGGGGCGTGGCAGTGCATTGAACTCAATGGCACTGCAGCCACTCCCCCAAACGGGGTGCAATCGCTGGCACCCAAACGCGTGGCACATTAGTGCCTGCCTTCCGGTGCAGTGCGATCTGCAGAAAATGCGGCATGCACTATTTTTTTTGCAGGTCGCACTGGACCGGAACACAGGCACTAATGTGCCACGCGTTCGGGTGCCGGCGATTGCACTGCCGGTTTAGGGCGTGCCTGCGTTGACTGAGTTAAATGTCTGCAGCCACTCCCCCAAACGGGGTGCAATCGCTGGCACCCAAACGCGTGGCACATTAGTGCCTGCCTTCCGGTGCAGTGCGATCTGCAGAAAATGCGGCATGCACTATTTTTTTTGCAGGTCGCACTGGACCGGAACACAGGCACTAATGTGCCACGCGTTCGGGTGCCGGCGATTGCACTGCAGGTTTAGGGCGTGCCTGCGTTGACTGAGTTAAATGCACCGCCACGCCCCCTCCCGCCCCAAAACAAAGTGAGCCGGCCGGGTTGCATTTCAGAGGCGGAATTCACCCTTGATGGTGTGACTTGGCCCTCAATGTGGAACTAACGTCCTGTTGCAGGTACTTCTTACCATTCACAGTCCTTCCCCTGACAATGCCTTGGGGGGGGGGCTTGGCATGGCATGCTGCACAGGTAGCACCAGGTCTTTTTAGGATACATATACACAGACATATTGTACAATCTGTTACCTGGATGGGCCAGAGTATGACATTAATATCCCCGCTGACCCCAGTTATCGAGTACATGGACTCCAGGCCTCCGGTGCTGAATGAGAGAATGGCTTTTTTATTCTGAAAGAGAAGTGTACATTTACAGACTGCGTACTATATAGAGGGAGGAGAATCTTACCATTCAATACTTTAATGTTATTTAAACCTTGGCACTCCAGCTCTGGTGAAATTACAAGACCTGCAAGACTCTGACAGCCACAGACATGACTCCCAGAGACAGATGCCTGGTGGTATTTGTTGTTTTACCACAGCTGGAGTGCCAAGGTTTCCTACCACTGATCTCGGCCATCTGCACAAGTGAAATCCGGCCAGGGATGCCCCCTGCAAACTCTTAACACTTCAAAAATCACTCAGTGAATCAGGCTTATTCTCCTTTCTACTCCAACTCGCAAGGCCATTACCTCTGAGTGTCTGAGCTGGCGGCCTTATCCTGTAAAGAACCCTTTCTGGTCTTACAAACTGCAAGGAGGTGTTGAGGTCCAGAACTTCTGTTCTTCCAGACAGTTTTGGCCTTTCACCTCAACCAGGACAATGATCTTCTGTCCAGCTCCAGTTCTTCAGAAGGCAATCTCCCTCCATTGTCTGGATGTAGTTCTTGCTGTGCGTGTCTATCTTGCAGGCAGTGGTTCTCAGTGGCTTACACCAGGGGGTAGCCATCCTTGGTACTCCAGCTGCGGTGAAACTACCATTATATGTTTGCCTTTTGGAATCATGACTATGTCTGTCAGTGTCCTGCAAAGTATCATGGGACGTGTAGTTGCACAACAGCTGAAGTGCCGAGGTTGCCTATCATTGGCTTGGACAGACCATCGTTCAGGTTATGGTCCTAAGGATTGGGATTCCCCTGCCAGAGTCAAAGTGAAGTACTTACAGGACGTACGAGCATGTGACTATTCACTATTCCCACAAGGAGCACTAGGTATCTGAGTGGCCAATTGCTTGGCCAATGGTGGAAGGACTACACATGAAGAGCACCGGGGACTGCATATGGTGATGAGTTTTACACTTAGGCTACCAAAGCTGGGTATACATGATATTCACAGCTACTGAATAAGATAATCATCTCCCAACCCACCTTGAATGGCCCATTTTGGAACATTTCCGACTGGTTGTATGCAAATCCGCTGGTTAACACCCGATCAAACCAGCCCTTCAGAATAGCTGGAAGTCCGAACCAATACATTGGGAACTGTTGAAACAAAACCAACATAAAAAAGGTCACCGATCTTGGTACCCATGTTTGGTCAGAAAAGGTTTGTAGCCTTTTTGCCTACTACAAATATTTATGCACCTGAAATATCACCAGATCGGCATCGTGCAGCTTCTTCTGTTCCTCTACAATGTCTTTGCTCAGACGACCATCTTTGTAGGCATGCATGGACTCGGCTGGGTATTTGAAGTTCTCGGGATCACGCGGACTTCCTGTGTGACAAAATGATTGCAGTATTGTCTGCCTATGAAACCTCATTACGGAGCCACTCAGAAGATAGCATAAGGAATGCAGCGGTACGGTGCGAGGTTGGTCAGTACTGTGGCCCCCCGGGGTCATTAACCGCCGGGGTCATAATCTGCATATTTCATTTAGTGGTTCAGATCTCTATACTTCCCTTATTGTCTACAAAGACAGGTGGACCTATATTAGGTGGGTCCCCACTACCATCAACATCATCCCAGACACAAAAACACTGACTATTTTGGTAAGATGAAAGGGCGCAGGGCTGCTCTCCAAGTATAAGATCTCCGCCTGTCTCATGATAGTCTCACTTGAAATAAAGTGCTAAATTCCACCACCAGACACATGACAAATGCCTACTTGCAGCGTTTTTTCATTGACGTGCAATGTTCCTTGCGATGAAGCCCCCTCCCTATTTGTCATAGCCCTCTGCTCTTCTGGGAGTGTCTAATTGTTGTCTGTGCTGGTCCAGCTCCGGCCCCTCTGCCCCTCACCTCCCTACATACAGTAGTTGCAAGGTTTGCGGGTAGGGGAGAGGAGAGCAAAGAGGAATACTATAGAGCAGTGATGGCGAACCTATGGCACGCGTGGCAGAGAGGGCACACAGAGGCTCCTCTGGTGGCATGCAAGCCTAGGCAGTAGTGTCAAAATCCTATCGCCCGACACCCTGGACATGCAGTTTGTGGCGCCAAGTGGGTAGATTTTTTCTACATTTAGTAAGCAAGGCTAAATATGTAAAGTGGGAAAGCCGGTGTTTGAGTACAAGTCATCTCGGCTATGTTGCCGAGATCACTTGTAATAAGGTCCATCTCCGCCACCACCTCCGGCTGCCTCTCTGACTGCTGGCTGCCTCCCCC